GTTAGACTGGACGATACCCTGTACGTAGGTGTGAAGCGGAACGCAGAATGCCTTTTTATGGACATTTCCTGTATTTAGATCCTGCAGTTTCTAAGATATTCGAGAACAGACGGAGAAATAGTTATATAGATATTATATTCAAATATACCCCGTTTGACAATTGTCATGGTTACAGGGTACACATATATATTTATCTACGCATATTATAAACCATACGCAAACCCGACAAAGTTCTGCACTTCGTCAATGTCAATATGGACAGGAACCGAACTATTGACCAGTTTGTTAAATTAATCAGTAAATCGTTAAATAAATTGACTTAAAATACCGCCGGCAGCTAAGTAACTCAGCAGCGCCAAAGTCTCGAGTCTGCCTCTACGATTTCGACTAGAGTTTATAAAAATTTGCCTGTTCCCAGCGTGCTTATCAAATCATGCGAGCAAGTTCGTTGCCTAAGTCTTCTGTTTTCAGTATCTGTAGCATATCTGTATATTATCTCTTTCTTCTTTTCCGAGCATATGTTAACAAGAAACACAGTCACCAGCGACTCTGCTAGACTCCCGAGAAAAGCAGTTAAGCATCTCCAAAGATGTTCTTCTATTTTTTGTTTTTGTTTTTCGTCTTTTTTTTTTCAGGTGTAAAAAGAATGAAGGTTTTTCATAAATTCAAATCCAAATGCTGATCGTAAATTTCTTTTGAGCCTGCTGCACATCGCTGCCCTTCCACATAATTTCGTTAGCGCCCAAAGGGACGCGCACTTAAAAAGAAAAAAACCAAATGGGGGAGAGAACAACTGGGAAAGGGCATCTATCTAGGTGTGTATAATAGCCCTGTGTGTTATGGTCTCTTTCTTCTTTATGTGTCTCTCGCACTTACCCTTTCTTTTGTAAATATTAGTTGGTGTCTGTGTGCATTGTTGTTGTTGCTGCCATAGTTTAGTGCCATCGACGAGGCCATTGTCAGGATTACGATATGATATGATATGACATGCTGGCCCCTATACACATCTAAATACTTTCTTCTGGCCTGGGAAATGTTTTATTTTGATGCGTATTTTGGAGTGCGGCCCATAAGGAAATTGCTGCACAGTGGGCATGCTGCTCGTTACTTTTTTTTTTTTTTTTTGTTATGCACCATGTGGCACAATCAACTATATATATATTCATATATTTATGTAATTCTAAGTCTGAGTTGGAGTCTGGATCTGGATCTGGAAATGTGCCTGTGCCTGCCTGCTTTGTGTATTTTTGTTTTCTGCATTGATTTTCTTAGCTGCAGGTGCGGAAGCAATTTGTTTAGAATTTTGCTGTAAACGCAACAAGCAAAGCAGCCACAACAAAAGCAACAAAAACAGCAAAAGAGACAACAACAACAGCAACAACAAGTACTACAAGAGTCAGTTCCCGGCCAACATGGACATTAAATAAAAGCGAAAAGAGTAAACATACAACACGAGAAAATATTGCATGCACAGCTCGCCAAAAGGCAAATGCTGCCCGCGCGCTCGACTGTGTGTATGTGTCTGTGTGTGTGTGTGTCTGGGTGTATGCAAATTATTGTGCACACAAAGACGACGATATAACAACAACGCAACTAGCCAAACACTTGAGTTGCTTTGTCAGCTAAAGGAATCGTTTTAAGCGCTTTGCAACTTCATTGGCCCAACTTTAAAGATTTGCCAAATCAATGCAAACTAACCGAAAATAGCTCAAGGAATTGTAGCAACGAGGGCGGTTCCTATAGAACTATGGCAAAAATATAATATTTATAGTATTACTATGTTAATTCAATTTGCTAGCAGATAATTATATCAGACTATAGTCCTTAAATATAAAGCAAAGGTTTAACTACATACTTTAGTTGAAGACAGTTTTGCGCCAGATTAAAATAAAAAAAAATTGATAAAATTTTAAAAATAAATGAAAATAATTCATCTGGTAATATATGATCAAGTAATGTATGATAATGAAATTTGCCAGGAGATAATTATATCAGAATATAGAGTATAGTTAAAGAAAGAGAAAAAGGTAATACTCAGGCGTTTATTGAAGATCATTTTGTGCAATATTTCATCCAAATTTAAATAGATCAAATTCTGAAAAAATAGAATATTAATTAAATTAATTAAAAATTAAATAAACAAATAATGGTTAAAATGGAAAGAGTATAAGTTAAGCTTTGGGCATTAATTGAAGATATTATTGAGCCAGACGAAACAAGATTTGGTACAATTTTTTTAAATAAATAAATATAATAACGATTTTGTATTTCGTGCAACGTAAATTGAAGCCAAGCGAGTCTAGTAAAATTTCAAATAACTTATTTTGGATTAATGTATTTAAATGCAAACCTTTCATAAAATTACAAATCTTTTGCATGACATCAACTCACTCGAAAAATGCATTGAACAGCCCGTGCGTGTATCATATCTAGAGACAACATTATGTTTTATTGTTGTTTGAACCTTATGGCATATGTCCATAAACTTTTATTAATAACCCCATAAAAAATGGCCATAAAATGTGTACTCTTGTTCTGTCTGGGTTGTTGTTTGTTACGGTAATTTTAAGCACATATGTAAAGTGTTTTGCAGTTTTACTCCGAGCGTGTGTGTGTGTGTGTGTGTGTGTGTGTCTGTGTTTAGACAATGGCACAGCTGGTGGGCTGCCGCCCCTTCGGAAACCCCTCGACATGCCCACAAAACAATTTCTCTCAGCATTATAATTTTTCTTATTTTTTATGTTTGTACACTAAAGTTAGAGTAGAGAGAACTCTATTATATTGTTTTATGGTTTCCCGCCAGAGATGAAGGAAATCTCTTTGATTTCAGCTAAGGCAACTGAAAACCTGGGGCCAACAACAAATTCTGGTTGCCCAAATGTAAAATGATATGCTTAAAGAGTTTGTAGCAAGTTCTGAACGTGTTAAAGTCACAAGTTCCCTAACACGTCTTAAGGTTATTTGATATATTTATTAAACTAGCATAACGATTTTTATTAAGCTCAGCCAGACACACACACGCATACGCACACACGCAGACACACACACACACACATTCGCTCACACACACATACACAGCAGGAGCATTGTGACCGAAACGGGTTATCTAAACATTTGGTGCTCTTCATGTTTATAAAGCCTTTCGAATTTCTTATGCGATTTGTAGCTTAGTCAAGTTGAAAGTAACCAAAGTGCGGCAACAATTTTTTGTTAGAGCAACTCAACTTTGTTGCACTCACACACACACACACACACACACACACATATATATATAATTCAGTCTCGTTCCAGTTGCCGATGCCTGCCTGCCTGCCCTGTCTCTTGGCTTATTTCATTTCATTTTATTTACGTGAACTACTCTGGTGTCCAATAAAATATACGCAACGAAATCAGATGCAAAACTCCAGGCAACGAGACGAGTTGCTGGAAAAGCCAGCCCAAAGGCTGAGATACGCATATGCCAAGGCTGCGCGTGATGCAGACAGAAAGAGAGAGAGAGAGCGAACGAGGGAGAGAGTGAGAGAACAGTCAGTGAGAGAGTGAGAGGGCAAAAGATTCTCATTCTCAGCATCTTGTCGCTGAGACACGCGGACGCACTTAATGAGCAGCGATCTTAAATCTTAAAGCAGACGCACAGACAGCCGCCCGAGTTGGAGCTGGACCTGAGGCGCGGGACTTGGGTCTGGGCCTGGCCACAGAGCTGATATCTGTGCAGAGGCAGGGCTCATACATGTGTGAGTGTGTGTGCGATGAAAGTATCTTGAACTGCGCTTTGCCTCATTCCGGGCTGAGCCTCATCTTTCTTCTGGCTTCGTCGCTGCACTTGAATTTCAAACTCACACAGAGACAGCGAGTGAGAGAGTAAGAGAGAGAGAGGGATGGAGAGAGAGGAAGGTAGAGACAGGGGGACACTTCAAATGCTTATGAAGATATTATGAAAAGCAAGCCGAGGCCGAGTTGGCTGGAGTTGGAGTTTGTGGCCGAGGCCGAGGCAGAGGCAGAGTCTGCGGCCTGCGTGACAACAGAGCCACTTGAGAGGCAGAGAGGCTGGCGACGACTCCAACAGCAACAGCAACAGCATTTTGTGGCAAGTTACTGCGTTGCTGGCAAGTTGACAAATGCAGCGCAGAGACGAGACAGCCATGGGAGTAGTTACCGAGTGCGGCCCGTGCAGCACTAGGAGCAGTTGGAGTTGGAGTCGGAGTTGGAGTTGGAGTCGCAGCTGCTGCTCATCTCTTGGCATCTTCACCTGCAAAAAAGATCAATGACAATTTATTGTCATGACTATGTAAGTTCTCACTGGCGCAGGCGTGCTCATATGCAACGTGCGGCGTGCAACAACAACAACAACAACAAATATGTATCTGCAGCCTGGTGTATCTGTATCTGCATCTCAACATTTGTATCTGTGCAAAGCAAGTGCTTTAAGTAGTCGCTGTTTCTGATTTGATTTGCTTGGTTGTTTTCTTTTTTTTTGTGGTTTTTCTTTTTATTTGCTTCGCTTAAGGAAAATGGCCCATAAATTATACAAAAAATGATATCTACTTACAGATTAGAAATTAGTATTCACTAAATGCTTAAACAAAATATCACAACAAATGTATCTCAAACTAAATACGAAATGGAATTAAAAATAAAACAATTATTAATGCTAGAACTTAATTGCGAAAGTTAATGCTTAATACTCGCTTTAGATATTGATCTGATGTCCTGCTAATACTCGTACTTGGCCCACCGATTTATATGGAAATTGTTGAGCTGTTCTCTTCTTCTATTGACTAATTGAGCCGGGCCAGTTGTGAACATTTGGCATTTGATTAAGTTAAATCACTTAGATTAATAAACATGTGTGTTTAACAAGGCGAACATTTAGTTTAACGATATTTACAGCTTATCAGTCGAGAAATATACATATATATATATATATATATATATATATATATATATATATATGTTAATGCATATATATTTATATATATATATATGTTATATGTAGTTGGATTCGTTATCGTTCGTTTCATTAGCTGCTCTTGTTGCTGTCCCTGCACTTGTGTACCTGGGCCAGCACGCGATCGATGCGTTCCGCCAGAATCTTGATTGATTTATCCGGCAGAGAGGGCAGCACATCACGCACATTCGGGCTGGTTGTGCGCTCGAAAAGATCGCGCAGTTGGCGACCCGCGCCCTCCACACGCAAACGCTGCAGCGCCTTAATGGTGGGTCGTCGAAAGATGCACAGATTGTCCAATAGCAGACTGTGATAGGCCTCATACTTCTTGAGCAGCCGATAGCCATGGAGTAGGCCCGATTCGTTGTCCAGAAACACGAGCAGCTGCGTATCGCTCTGCCGTGCCAGATTGTGAGCCGGCGCAGCCATAATGTCGGCATTCCATTGAAAGTTGTACAAGTTATTAACGACACGATCGAGGTTCGCGATCAGGTAATCGAAGACGATTAAATCGGACCATTGTGCCAATTCAATTAGTCGCTGCAGCAGCGTCGACGACGACGACGTTGACGCTGTCGAGGATGCGGCTGCGGCTGCGGCTGCGACTGCGGCAGCTGAGGACAACTCTGTGGCGTTCTCCTCAAGCGTGCGTGATTGATGAGCGCCCGTTTGGCCGCTGGCAGCCTCCAGCCGCTTGAGTAATCCGCGCGACTCAATCGTACCATCATCTGCCGTCTCCCGCTGCATTTGCTGTGTTATATTCCAGACATCGTACTTGTTGAGATGCCGCTCCAGTGGCTGAAACGGTTGCGGTATGCCGGCTGGCTCCAGATCGGCCAGCCAACGCGTTAACACCACCGGCCTGTGCTCCTTCCACTGGGCCTGGGTGATGTCGCCCAATGCCGTTGACCAGCTTGGCGTCGTGGTGTCAATGACTGTCGCTGCACTGGGCGCCAGATTGCTAATGTTCAGCAATTGGCCCAGATAGTAGCTAAATATCTCGCCCTGTATCTGATCCGTGTTCTGGCGGTAGCGTGCACAGGCCCGCGTCCCATCGGCGAACACGACCAGGCGATTCTGCATGCGGCCGCAGCCATGCTCCAGGCGCACCACCTGACCCTGGCCGGCCACATAGCGCTCCCAGCTCTGCTGATCCGCGGCAGCAAAGCCCTGTGGCAGCGCACGCTCCACCATCTCGCCCCAGTAGATGTCCGACTCAATGATGCCCGCCGTGCCCTGTGGCTGCTGCGGCTGCTGGGACTTGGCTTGCGATTTGCTGCGCTCCGGCTGCGGCTGGGTCTTGGTCAGGCGACGCTCGGGTCCCTTGCGATAGCGTCCGTTGGCGGTGCGCTGCACATGGAACTCCTTGATGCTGCCATCGTTGGTATCCAGTTTCTTGACTATCATCGAGTCGGGCGCATTCTTGTCCTGCTCCAGATGGAAGGCATTGCGAAAGACCTGCTCCGCGCTCAGCTCCACATTGGCCAGGTGCTCGGCCTCCTCGCGTATAAAGGACACGCTGTACGGCAGCGGCGGTCGCTCGTAGTTGCTGCCGGACGGCTCCTCGCTGAGCTTAAGTGTGGCAGCCGCTGACTCAACGCTGCTCCCGCTGCCGCTGCTCTCGCTCCCGCTGCTGTCGTTGGCAAAGTAGTCGGGCAGTCCGAGCATGGGCACGATGACGCCCAGCGCCATGCCAAAGACAAAGGCGGCCAGTATGCTGAGCAGGCAGGCGCGACGCTGGAACGCCCGGCGACGACGCAGCGTCAACAGCGTCATGTGTGTGGCTTCAATGGGGCTGCTGCTGTGGCTGCTGCAGCTGCTGCTGCAGTGGCTCTTCGGCGTCGTTGCAGCGAGCGGCGTGGGCGTTATAACGCTGCAGGTGAGCTGAAGCGGCGCAGAGCCGTTCAGGCGATCGTTTAGAGTATGTCCAAGTGTTGGTTGTTGTAGCTGTTGTGGTTGTTGTTGGGGTTGCTGTATTTGTTGTTGTAGCTGCTGTTGTCCGGCTTCCAGGCGCTTGATGTCGTACATTTTGCTGGTGCAGTCACCGAACTGCTGCTCTCCCTCTACCTCGCTCGCTCTCTTGCTCTGTCTGTCTCTCTTTCTCTCTCTCTATCTCTGTGGCCCGCTCAAACTGAGTGCAAGTTCAAGCTGCGCCTAAGGAAGCCGGCTGCGGCATGCAGGGCGTTGCGCACGCTTTAACCAGATGAAACTCAGATGCAGCTCGTCGTCGTCGTCGTCGTCCGACGAAAGTCGTGAAATTAATTTCTGGCTTTGTTTAATAAATATTGCGCCTGATCCCAGGGCTTTATCGGGTCTGTGAGTCTAGTCCTTTTGCTCCAGCTAGTTCTATCGGCGAGCCGTCTCTACCTCTCTCCCTCTGTCTTTCGCTTCCTGTCTCGCTCGCTCGCTCTGGCGCTGCTCTGACCGGTTGGTTTAGTACGTTTTGGCGATTTTTCTACGATTTCCACAATTGAAATTGAAACAGCAAAAAAAAAACGTGCCCAACGCCGCTTTATTTATTTTTTGCTGCTTCAATTCTGTTGCTTTATTTTCTATTTTTTTTGTTGGTCGGTTTATCGATCTATTTTCTGCACGATCACTTGTTGTAATTTTTTATTATACATTTTGCAGTGCCGTCGCAGTTGTTATTGTTATTGTTGTTGTTGCTGTTGTTGTCTGTATCTGTGGGCTGCTGCACATGTATGCACATAGCGAATATGCCTTTCGGGTAATATTTTAGCAATTTCCTCGCTCTCTGGTCCGCAGTTTTTGGAGTTTATCGCGGCCTCCACGCGATGCGCTTGTTGTTGTTGTTGCTTTTGTTTTTAGTTTAAGTTTTTACCTTGACTAAAGGGCCTAAAAGCTGTTTCTGGTCAACTAGTTTAACAGTTTTTTCTTGTTGTTGTTGCTGTTTTTTGTGTTTTGTTTGGATGTTTGTTTTTTTTTTTTTCAATTTTTCCAATTGGCGATTTTGGCGCGCCGATAAAAGCAATTTCGTGGCTTTGAGCTATTTACCACACACATAAGCAAAGGCGCGCACACACACACACACGAGCGCGCGCGTAACACACACACATACACACACACTTGCGACTTGTCTACAGTCGTTTGGCATTCCCAGCCTGATGCACTGCGCTTGATAATTGCCACAGCAGCGCGACAAGTCCAAGTCCCAGTCACTGGGCACCAAGTCCTGCCAAGGCTCTGCGACTAGGCACGGTCAAGGGTTCCTTGTTGTTGTTGTTGCGCTTGCTTTTGCTTTTAGGTTTATCAATTTAATTTCTTGTCTCGCACCTTTGCTTGATTTTATTTTGTATTTCTTATTTTTATTTTATTTTTCAGGGCTTTTTGTTCGCTTGACCGTCCGCAACATTCACGTTGTGCGCCGCACACCGAACGATCTGAGGAATTTTTATGCTTTTTTATTTTTATTTCTCCTTTATTTTTATATTTGCCGTTCTCGCGTTTGCGTTTGCGCTGTTGTCTTTCATAAGTGCATATAGTCTATATACAGATATCTTCCATAAATATATCAATATATAACTTGTCTCGTTCTCGATCTTTGATTTGGCCAAAAAACTTGCCAACTTTTGTGCACTTTTGTTTGCAGTTTGACAACTGTTTTCAATTTAGTATCTGACAGTGAGAAAACGTGCGCGCAGGCGTACCGCTTCTTTCGAGTTTCGATGGCAGACTGTCGGCTGGAGAGCTGTCGCCAGGCTTAGTTAAAGACCGGACCGGACCGCAGCGCAGCTCAGCTCAGCTCAGACCCGGCCCGGGCCGGCTCAATTGCAGCTACGCTCAAACTCTCTGGCATTCTGTGGCGCTCTCTTACTCAGAGGCATGCCGGATTTTTTTTTTATTCTTTTTTATTTTGAGTGAAATTCGTGCGCTCTTTGACAGAACTCAGATACATTTTATTTATTCACTTAGCCAACACGCACAATCATGTCGCCGAGCTGTTGGCTCCTGCTCCAGTGCAATCATTATTGATATAACAAAATGAGCCTTTAGCCCGCACCTCAAAGAGCATCGCATCGTTTTCCATAAACTTGCCAATAAACGAGAAGTTGTACTCGGGCAAATAGTTGGGTAAGTAATTCGCATCGAACTTCATGTGTCGCGCTCTGTAGGTGGTATTCTATACGGGTCTTATTGTATGTAAAGCACCTGCTCAAGGCTGCACCCCAACGGCTGACTCACCCGCTTGAAGGGACACTTTTTGGGAAAATTATTGTCCGCCTGCTGTATTCCCTTGTTAAAGAAGGTCAACAGAGAGCGACGACTGCTGGCAGTCAGAATTTTGCAGAAATCCAGACGTATGCCAGGGACACGTATTCGTTGCTTTCCGCCCAATATTAGCAGCTCCGCGATGCCCACCACATTGACGACCTCATTGTCGTTAGTAGCTCCTTGAATTGAAATCGTGCTGTTGTCCTCTATAGTGCACTCGATCCAGGTTAATTTGCTGCTCCTCAGGGGACATTGCACACTTGTAAATATGATTTTCTTAACGAAATGTGAAAATATTTAATGGAGAGGCGCGCGCAACACAAAATACCTTCTGGGCGAGGATGAGAACAAGCGACCAGTGAAAAATGATCCAAAAATAGCTCCCTGCCAGTTGCATTTTTCAACTGGTTGACAATTCTAAGAAGAAACAAGCCGTAACATATGCTGTTCATCCATTTATAGAAAGCAGACACAATATTGCGAAATATTGAGCAATTAAATCAATAATGTTACAGTTTATCAAGATAGGTCCACTTGTTTTTAATAGCATCCGGTTGAATTTAGCTACTGAACTCATGCATAAACTTTATTTGCGGTTAAAAGCACAAATTAATTCAAAGCTGTTCTGTTAGCTTCGTTTCCAGTGCAATCTTTATCGCTATGACAAAGGCAGCCACCGATACGTAAATCGAAAAGATTCGCATTGTTGCCATAGAATTTGCCAATGAATGTGAAATTGTACTCGGGCAGATAGACCGGCAAGGAGTTGGCATCGAACTTCATGTGTTGCAATATATAGGTGACGTTCTGCAAACGGAAAAGTTGGTAACATCTGCCTTTGGGATACGCCCCTGTTCGTGGCCACGACTCACCCTCTTGAAGGGACATCTGCGGGGCATGTTGTTGTCCGTCTGCTGTATGCCCTGAAATATAAAGCTCAGCATGGAGGGTCGTATGCCGGCATCCAACATCTTGCATATGTCCAGGCGTACACCATTTATTCTGGTCACCTTGCGCTGACCCTCTGCCGATAGATTCAGCTCCATTATGCCCACCAAATTGCCGACATCTTTGTTACCCACCGTTGATTGGAAAGTAAATGCGCTATTCTCCTCCAGAAAGCATCCAACATTGACCACCTTATTGCTTTTTATAGCGCACTGCACTTTGGTAAACACAATGCGCTTACATATGGTGAGGAGTTCAATGTGAATTAAATGCATTTTATATGGTCTAGTTTGCAATACCTTCTGAGCATGGCTTAGGATAAGCATGCAAGCGATTAATATACCAAAAATATATCGTATTTTTTGCATTTCGCGTAGCACTCAACAGGTTTGCGCATAACACAAAACTGATATGTATATAAGTGCGATATATAACTAAAGTCTATGTGTCTAAATGTGTATTGGGGCGCTGAAAAATAATTTCACGCACAGTCAATAATTGGCATATATTTAAAAGCTCAAGCAATCCATGCATGGTATTTATTTCATTTTAGAATATTTCTAAATAAATCCAATCTTGATCATATATCCGTAGTTTTAGCTAACCCTTTGGCGCCCGAGCAATCGTTTGTGGCATAACATATGGAGCCCTCGAGTCGCACCTCAAACGTTTTTACATGATTCGCATGAAATTTGCCAATGTATGTGAAATTATATTCCGGCAAATAGACGGGCAAATAATTGCCATCAAACCTCATGTGCCGCAATACATAGGTCGTGTTCTGCAATCGTATGGTCGAGCGAAAGCCATCTGTTAAAGTACATGCTTCCTTCTTTTTTTTTTTTTTTTGGTTTTGTTTCAGACTCACCCGCTTTAAGGGACACTCTTTGGGCAAATTATTGTCGGTTCGTTGTATACCCATTTGCAGCATGGCCATCAGGGAGGGTCGATTGCTGGCATTCAGTTTGCAAATATCGAGGCGAACTCCTTTGAAACGCATGGCACTTTTTTTGCCATATATAAATATATTCAAATCCGATATGCCCACCAGATTCTGCACCTCAATGTCGTTGGTCGTAGCCTGAATTGTGAAAGCGCTGCTGTGCTCAATAAAGCACTCGACCTTGTCCATTTGGTTGCTCTTGAGTGGACATTGTACCTTTGTAAAGATGATTTTCTTAACGAAACACAGCCCGTATTAAACAACGTAGTTATGTTACTTGTCTTTGGTATATTGCCAGGGACTTACCTTCTGGGCAAGGCTAAGACTTAGCAGCCAGACAAAAATGATAAAATTCAGGCAACGTTTTTGTTGCATTTGACGAATAACTGAGCCGCGAGTTTTAGCGACAAAAATAAGCAATTCACTTAACTTCGATTGTCAATATTCAAATGACAAAATTCGTAGCGTACTTAAATATATAATTTCACAGCAAATCAAGATAAATGAGAAAAATATTGTCAATTGATTTTTAAACACATTGCTATGCATAACAATCAAGAACCCATTAAAAGTTCACGTATTTCATATACATACATTGTTTTTTTTTATAGCTTATAACCGAAAAATTTATTCGTTTTACAATTGTATTATATTAAACATTAGCTTTGGCAGTGCCCGTGCAATCGTTATCGATAAAACAAAACGATCCAAGCATTCGCAACTCTCCGCTTTTCACATTGTCCGCAAATAAGTTTCCAACGTAAGTGAAGTTATATTCCGGTAGATAAGAGGGCAAATAGTTCGCATCGAACTTCATCTGCCCAAACAAATAGGTGCTGTTCTGTAATTGATTTAATGAAGCATAAGCTGTCACACAATCTAAGAGACACCCGCTGTTGTCTAGGCTCACCCTTCTAAGTGGACATTTTTGGGTGTTCTTAATGCCCTGGTATAGCATGGTCTGTAGATTGGGCCGGCTGCCTGGTGTGGAAGCTTTGCAATATTCTGTGCGCAGTCCATGAAGACGCATCACATTCTTAGCCCCAAATATATAAAGATTTAGATCCGATATAATCCACAAATTCGCAATGTCGTTGTTGTTTGTCGTTAGGAGGACCGAAAACGAGCTATTGCTCTCTTGAACACAGTCCACCTTAATGAATTGGCTACTCTTTAGGCCGCATTGCAGTTTCGTAAAAAGTATTTGCTTAACAACATATTAAAATAAATTAAGTTCTGTTTACTTTTTGATGGACAGGCACGTACCTTCTGCGCAAAGCTCATGTTTGTAATGCAAGCGAATATAATCCAAAAATTTAGCAATTTTTGTGGCATTTTATGCGTTAAGAAAACTGGACTCAAAGCACTACAAAACAAATGTGAAACCTTCAACCCATCTATATGACTTTCTGAACTGATTAGAGGTAGAATGGACAAATATATAGACAGATACAGTTAAAACCGACCGAATATATTTGAGCTGCATTCAAATGAACCAATCACAGGCCAATTATGTGCTGAAATTGGCCATGAACAAATATTTATTTGGGTTTTTGCGGATTTTATTTATGGATAAGCCTGGTAAATGCAGTAATAGGTTGTCTATTATTCAACTAGGCCGACGGCAAAACGTCAATAAATAAATGAAAAAAATTGTAAAATATGCTTTATTTTCTTTATTTTTCTGTAATTTTAAATCTTTGCATATTTCAATATTTTTTCAAATTTTATAAAAATTTCCATTGAAACATTTTTCATTATAAAATAAATTTTATAACATGTGCTATATAAAGGGCTAAGAGCAGCTCTTAAGAGCAAACAGAAACTCACTCGCATTTTTTCACTCAATTGCTTGGGAGAGAATTTCAAAGAGCGAGAGAGAGAGAGAGAGAGAGCGAGAGAGAGGGAGAGCACTCAGCTGAGCCATGCAGACAGTAGACATTTTAATGCCCATTTGTAGCTCTTGAAACGTTCGTGTTGTTGATTTTTATGCTCAGCGCGGCACATTTGCTGCGCCACATTAAGAAACTAGTATTTGTTGGTATTGGTGGTTGTGGCTACTTTTGCTCTTGCCGGAGCGGGAGCGAGCTGCAATGGCAGCTCACACACACTCGACACACACAAATGCACACAGGGTATAAAAAGTTGGAAAAAATATGATCAAGGAATGTAGACATAACTTGACAGCATGTTTAGAGAATTTTTACTCGAGGACAGAGCGCGAATGTGCGTTGGAAACGGAATGAGTCGCTCGAGTAGCCGCCGCTGCTCAGACACGGAGCAGGCAGAGCAGGCTGGCTGGCTGGATGGCTGGCTAACAGGCCGGCAACGAAGACGACAACCACGGAGACGATAGCAACAACAAAAACAACAAAACATTAAAGTTGGCGCATTCTTTGGACCAGGCTACTGCTGTGGCCGTGTGAGTACGAGAGCTTTGGTGTGCGTGTGTGTGCGACTGAGAGTGGGGACTTTTGCGAGTTAGACTCACGATTTGTCTAATTGAATTTGCACAAACAATTAAAAGTTGTTCAGTATCCAATGACAAGCATAAACATAATTTATGAGCAGCGCTCTATTTTTTCATTTACTGTTAAAACAGTTGCCCTGCCCGGCTGCTAGTCGGCATTAAATATGCAAATAATAAATAAATAAAAAAATATAAAAAAGAATTTAAAGTGAATGCACATTAAACAGCAAATCAAATGAAATCAAATGGCCATGCATAGATAACTAGCTGAGATCAAAGAGAATATAACAAAAAGTATTCGGCGTGCCATTTGCAATAAATAAGCATAAAATTAACAAAAAATTCAGCTCAAAAGTGTCAGCTGTCCGTTGAGGCACCTTAAGAGACACTGTTGTTGTTATTGCTGTGGCTTTTCATTATCAGACGATCTAAATTTGAGGCTGAAATTAAATCTAAATCAGGCGACATCAGGGCATCAACTTTGTTGTTGGCATCGATTCGATTTTATTTGGCTGGCTTCTGATGTTGTTTTTTGTCTCATATCTTTTTTTTTTTTTTGCCATATGCCCCGCAGTAATGTGACTGTTGAAATCGTCAGTTTAAGTCAAATTAATTAACATTAATTTTTGTAGTTCGTTGCGAGGCATAAATTCAGCCGGGTGGCTTTTTGGCTAACTGCCAGGCTTTGATGATGAATTGTAACCCGGCTGGCGACTTTGGAGTTGGCACTGTGTCTTCAAATAGTCTTATCGCTGCCAGCCTTTTATAGGCAGCTAATGTTGTAGTTGTAGTTGTAGCTATTGTTGTTGTTGTTGTTACTGTTGCCAATATGGTGGGAAAGCGCGCTGCTGGCCGGCGCTCAAACTTGTTATACTTTTAGCCAGCAGCCAGCAAGGTCCAGGCCCAAAGTTAATCGAATTAAACAAATACATGTGTTCGACTGGCGGTTTAACAGTTGCTCCGGGTTTGACAAATGATGTTCGACTCTTGGCGTTTTTTTAATTTGGGTTTTTTTCTTCATAGTTATAACGATAACTAGCCTAACTGTGTCTGTCGCTGGGCTAAGGCGCTTACCAAGTTCGTTGCCTAAGTCTTTTGTTTTGTGGGAACAGTTTTGCGTTGCGTTGCGTTTCGTTTCGTTTGGTTTTAATTATTGCCAAAGTCTTTGCCCGCGTATAAATTTCAGTGCAGTGAGCAAACAAAGAAATAAAAACCCGGCACACACACGCACACACATACTGGAGGGGAAAAAAAGCATTTTTTCGAAGTTTGTTAAGCGCAAATTCTTGAAATGTTTGCAGTGCGCAACAATTTGGAACATTTTGTTGAACACAAGAGGAGCAAACAGAGGAAAAAGAAAAAAAAAAGTATATATAAAAATAAAAGAAAAGAAATACAAGTAAATGTATCGGCGAACGCGTCGCCTCGTGGTCAACGAAAGTGAACGGCGAAGGACACACAAAGTGACGGCGACTGGTGCTCAACTGCGAAACTGGAACTGGAACTGGAGCTGTTGCTGTGGCTGGACGTGAGTGTGGCTGAAGTGAAACTGCCATTGTTTGCATTGCTAGATTCCAGACCACTCATGCTAGACGCTGGCGTCGCTGATGATGACGACTTGGACGTAACTGCAACAGCGCCTGAAGAGGCAGGAACTCAAAACTCCTTGCATACAGTTCGTCGTCGTCGTCGTCGTCGTCGTCACGGGCCGTCAGCGCTTGCATCCACAAATCTACAAGTCCACAGCACATCCTAGCTGGCTCTGCACTTCAAACATGAACGCACGGCGCATGGGCACGGGCACGGGCATAGGCATGGGGCACTTGCTGTTGCTTCTGCCTGGCTCTTGAAGACTCCACCAAAGACATCGGCTCCAGACTTTGGCTGTCTCTCTGGCTGCCAGGCCTGACCTGAGTTAAACAAATTCATTAAAAACTCGTCACTTTGCGCGCATCACGCTGACTTGGCATAACTGCCGTTGCCTCTGCTGCTGGCTGACTGCCTGACTGCCAGCCATCCTCCTCCAGCATCGTCGTTGGCGTCGTCGAGCATTGCCACTTGCCACAATGCTCGACGTACTCGCATTTGCAGTCGCACTCGCACTCCTGCGGCCCTGCAGCCAATGAAGTGCCTGGGTTCACAGTCTTAAGCCGTTGCCAGGATACCATTTTAACAATTTTCCTCTTCTTCATATTTGTTTTTTTTTTTTTTTTTTTTGTGCTTTTTGTGGCTAGCAGCCTCTGCATTTATAACAATATTTTTATAGCATGTCCCTTCACATTGTTTGCACTGCGCTGCAGTTTACTTCCTACAATGCCAACGCAAAGAGAGCGAGCCTTGAATTCACTATTTGTATTCTATTTTGAAAGGCCCTTCAATCAACTTGATCTTGGCAGCTGCCTGGAACCCAGTCAACCTCCAAGTAAGCCACCACCACCGGCATCGCCACCAGCATCGGCCAGATCCCCTGGCATTTCTCCTGAGAAAGCTCGCGACTGAATATCAAAAGCCGATAAGCAGCCCGCTCTCATGATGCCTCATTGATGCAGTGCATTCGCTTCTAACGGCTGCAGTCTGCGACAATGTGTGTGTGTGTGCCTATGTGTATATGCGTGTGTGTGTGTGCGATAAGTTTCCAGGAAGCGCACACTGCGTTTTGCCGTCGGCCTCTAACCAAAAACTGATGCCGCCAGTTGATGTCGCAGACGTCGCATTGCTACTGCCAAGCGCAACTCTTGTAATATGCACTAACTAACACGCATATTCAGGAAGCATTTTATGTCCAATTATTGTTAGCTCTCAACTAGAAACAGCTACACACTAGCCATATTATCCAATTTATGGCTATAAAGTTATTGAGGTGAGCTTTATAATTTCACTTACAATTATGAAAGTCCTATGA